GGAACTGGAGATCCAGTATCTGGACTTCAGGAGCATGGCTTTCTCAGTCTCCACCACTCTCTTTTGTGAGGAAAAAGAAAGGATATGCGTTACTGAATTGACTTTTCTTCCTACTTTTATGAGTTTACAATATAGTCATGACTGGTCCCTACTCTTCTCTCTCAGGCACAGAATGACAAACGGGGGTGGGGAGGGGGGTGGGGAGGGGGAAGAGATAGTAGCAAGTCCAAGTAAAGTCTTCAAGAATCTAAACCCATCACAGACCAGAATGAGGTTCACTTTTGGTAAAATCTACTAGATATTCATTCCAGTTAGTAGTGTACTTTTCTCAGCCTTATATCCCTACTGCTGGGGAAGCAATTCTCTCCCAATCCCATGATCTGTGGGGTGGGGTGTGTTTGTGTGTGTGTGTGTGCATGCGTGCGCACACGTGTGCACGTGCATGCACGTGTATGTGTGAATATGTGTGTGTGAGATGGTCACAAAAATTTGTTTAGATGACTTTTTTCCCAAACTAGTGCCCTATAAACAAATCACAAGCAGTGTCAAACAATCAAGGGCAAATCCAATAGTAACTTTTTCAAGGTAGAAACATGTATCAAATGATCCAAATGGTATTGATCTACCGTCAATTAAATGGTAAAATAGTTATCACTCATTTAATTAAGAATAGATACAATCAGAGATAGCAAGCACAACATCAACAACCTATCCCGTGACTCTATAAGGATTTTTAAAAAAAAAAAAAATAAAGACACTAATGGTTGGTAACATGGACTCTAGTGAGTGTCAAAAACAAGTTAAGTTAGTAACAGACAAAGCTTGTTATTTGGGTTTCTTTCAAGAAAGCAGAACTGATGAAGGGATGATTCTAGCAAAATGTTTTTCAACCATTAAAGAGGCTTTGATAACCTATGATTTGCTTTCATTTTAAAGCAACCATGACATTGATTGTATGTTAAGATTAATTATTTTAAAAATTTAAAAAATTTAAAAAATTTTATTTTATTATATAAAATAAATATTCAACACCTATTTGATCCAAAGAATAGTTCCCAAATTTTCCTCTGAGGGAAAAAATGATATCATACCTATAACAACCAGTTCCTATCTATTATGTGTCAATAAATGAAGATTCAAATTGTAGTGAGGAGCTGCGGGCAGGCCTGCTTTTTGTACCACCCGGCTCCCGCACGGCTAGCTTAGCCCCGGAAATAACAACACACAAATTGTATTCATTTAAACACTGCCTGGCCCATTATCTCTAGAGAGTTAGTTACTGGCTAATTCTCACATCTTCATTAACCCATTTCTAATAATCTGTGTAGCACCACGAGTTGGTGGCTTACCGGGAAAGATTCAGCATGTCTGACCTGGTGGCTGGCTCCATGGCATCTGCCTCACTGCACTCTTCTTAGCATTCTGTTCTGTTTACTCCACCTACCTAATTTTCTGTTCTATCAAAGGGCCAAGGCAGTCTCTTTAACCAATGAAAATAACACATAGACAGAAGGCCCACCTACATCACCAGTACTTTGGCAACTGTTCAAATTGGAAAAAAAAATGTATGTTTGGGAAGTTTTATATAGAAAATCTGCATCTAGTGTAGCACAAAGGAATACCTGGACCTGAAGTTGGACAGAGAAGGCCTAGTTTTGATTTAGTTCTGCATCAACTGCATACCCTCACTTGCAGCATCACTCATTCTGAGTGTTTTTAACATCAGTGAAATGCAGAACCCTTTCTACATTCTCAAATGTGTGTGTAGAAACACACAGTCTCCTGTTCCTCAGATATCCAGCAGCCCAGACTTCTCATGTTCCTCTCCTGTCCCAGAGTGCTGCAGTAAGGAGGGCTCACTTGATCTATGAAAGGGAACACTGTTTGTCCTTGACATGAAGTCTTAACCCTTTTGTACTAGGCAGGATGATTGTTTTGTTCCTACAGCCTCCATACTGTGAGTGAAAGAAGCAGCCTTTGTCCTGCACAACAGTTTCCAGGTTCTCTCCATCTCAGCCTCCTTATCTCTGATTGGCTGAGCTGGTAGCTAAGAGGCCACTGTCTTTCTGTCTTCAATTCATGAAATACTTATGGAGCCATTACTAAGAGCTAAACTTCATACTCCAATAGGTTTGTCAGAGACTTTGAATCATAAATTAATTGTTTAATCATGAGGTAATTTGTGTCTATGCTCATCATTATTTTTTATATTTTCCATGAAAATTTATATAGATATATAAACAGATATAAATATGTTGAGTAACTGTACCTAACTGGTGTTCCATAAATGGTTTAAATTCAAGGAGTGGCTTTGACAGAAAATCTAGTCTGTTGAGCAGGTATCCTCTTCTAAAGGGAACTGGGAAGTGTTCTGTCTTCTATTTTCTGAAAGAGCTTCTGCAGGGACAGTTTTATTTCTTCCTTAAATGCTTGGTAGAGTCCACTAATGAAGCCAGGTAGGTTTGTAGTAGGTTTTTAATTATTAATTCAGTTTACTGTTTATATAGAATTTTCCATATTATCTCTGGTCAGTTTTATTAATTTGAGAATCTGTTCATTTCACTTGTCAAATTTACTAGCGCAAGGGCTAGGAAGATACCACATAAAACAAAAGGGGGAGATGGCTCAGGTGTAAAGTCTCTTGCTTTGTTAGCACAGGTACTTGAATTTGAATCACTAGAGCACACATGAAAAATCTGGGTATAGCTGTGTCTTCCTGAAGCCCCAGCATTGGGAGGTGGAAGACAGGTGGCTCATGAGATCTTGCTGATCAGCCACCCTAGCCAAATAGTGAGTTTCTGGTTCCATGAAAAAAAAAACCCTATCTCAATGCAACAAGACAGAGAACAACAAAAAGAAACATTTGACACAGTCCTCTGGCCTCTGCATGCAGGCAAACAAGTACATACTGTAATAATTTCAGCCACATAAGGCTGATACTTCCGAGTTCTAGGGGTCATGCAAGTACAGACAAGCCCTCAGACAAAACAAGTGCCTAATGGCCCCTAGGGAGGTTAAAGGGCCCCCTGCAACTAAGACTCAGCTAAGCCCTTGTGTGCATGTGTGAGCCCTGTCTTAGGACATATGTAGTCACACCAACCCCCTGTGCGCATGCGCTAGGCAGCTTTTAAAAAGCTGGACTCACCATCTTTCTCTCTCTGCACACTGATTCCCCAGGCCTGTACACGCCCCCTCTAAAAAACTCCTAAGCGGGTTTGTTGTGTGTTTTGTGGTTCCTTCTCACTCGCACCAGGTAATTTCACTCATGTGTATACATCACACACTTGGACACACAGAGACACACACAGAGACAAAGACAGACAGACAGACAGACAGACACACACACACACACACACACACACAAGAAAAAAACCAAGGTGGGCGTGATGGTGCACACTTATGATCCCGTACTGAAGAGGTTGAGAAAAGCAGATCCCTGGAAATCCCTAACCAGTCAGTCCAGCCCACTTGAGAGATTTTCAGGCCAATAAAAGACCCTGTCTCAAAAATAATGAGGTGTACAGTGCCTGAATCATACCTGAGATTAACTCCTCCCTCCCCAAACAATTTCGTGGCATGAAATTGTCCTGAGTACTCCTTTATTATCAGCTGAATGTTGGAATATTCTATAGTGATACTCTCTCTTTTGTTCCTAATACAGTTTTCGCAATTAAGCTATCCAGAGTTTCCTCATTTAGAAGTCATTTTCTAGTTCATAAAGGTGTTATGTTTACTGTCAGCCAAGATCTCTCTTCTCTAGACCTGGAAGGTTTGTCTCAAGTTTTCCTTTAGAGTTGAAATGGGCTATTACCCTAGGAAGGCCTTTGGGGAGGTAATCTTTACACAATACTCCCACAATGAGAAAGAGAGAGGGGGGATGGAGGGAGAAAGGAAGCGGGAGAGAAAGAAAGAAAGATCTACCTATGTTTTGTAAACATACTTGGTTTTTCAAATAAACAGTAGTTTAGGTTTAAGATGCTGTCAAGTACAGTGATCCTCAATAAGGGGGATAGTCAAGTTCTTTAAAACTTTTTTTGATTTCTGAACTAACAATGGATTTACTGAAGTTGCAAAGACAGTACAGACAGGGTTTGTGTATCCTTCATCCACTTTTCTCCACTGATGGTAACATATGTAGCTATAGGAAAGTATCTAAAACCAGGAAACTAACATTAGTACAATATCAGTGTAATTTTATCAGATATGCAGATTGTATAGCTACTGCCATAGTCAAGATACAGAACTGACCTGGAGCATCACACTCATCTAGCATTGTATGAAAGGCTCTTCACCCCATCCTTGGACATACAGAAATATTCTATGACTACAGAAATATCCCTTGTGATCTCTCTCCCCAAACTCTACTTTACCATCATCCCTAATCCCAGGGAACCACAAATTTGTTCTATAGTTCTATAATTTTGTCATTCCTGTAATGCTACATAAAGTAATACAGCATATAATCTTGAATGTAGATTGTCTGACTCAGCAGAATGCCTTATAAGTCTATCCAGATTATACAGCAAACATTTTTTCCATGTGATCACTGAAGATTTTTCTATGGTATGGATCTACTACAGTTTGATTAACCATTACCCACAGGAAGGCATTTTAGTTGTTTTTTGGTTTTGTATTACAAATAAGATAGTATGAAGAATGTGACATAAGTTTTTGTGTGAATGTAAGTTTACTTTCTCTTCAAGAAATCCTCAGCAGTGAAGCTGTTTCCTTAAGACAACTTGGACTTCAGTTTTACAAGAAACTATCACCTTGCTTGTCAAAGTGGCTCTATCATGTTACATTCCTGCTGGTGGTATGAAAGAGCTCTAGATTTTAAAACAGAAATGAATCACAGATGATGAAGCCACCTATGATCTCTGAGTGGGTACAGAACATAGAAATCTGAGAGTTTAAGGGGAAACACTAGAAAATTATTTAGGTCAATTAACACTGAGACTCTTAAGAAATCTCTTAAGAAATTACTGGCAAAATGTTCATACCTTCTTTAAACTGTATCCAGCATGAAAAATAATTGGAGGCAGCAGAATGTTGAAAAATACCTCTGGATCAAATGTTACCTGAAATTTTAAAAAGAAAGTCAAAATTTAGATAAAGATAAACTGAAAATATTTATTAAATATTGAAAGCCATTGACTAAAGTGCCTGTTTAAAACAAAAGCCACCAATGTATTAAATCATTACAGCAGTGAAACCACAATTTCCCTACTGACTGGTATGTTCTTCCTCTCTATCTCTCCCTCCTCCAGCACTTCTGAATAAAATTCCAGTGTTCTGTCTTAATACACATTAAGTCCTAACAGTTAGAGGCAATTTCAGGAACTCACAGAAAGCTGCTGCCAATGTTTTTCAATAGAAAAGAAAAACATTTTGATTTTTATCACATATTCATGAAGGTTTAATTGCAATAAAATGCTGTTGTGAGTCTTATTAACTTCCAGACCATTAATGAGCTCTTTTCTAGATGCAATTCTACTACATTTAAGTCTCTTTTGAGGGAACAGACTTCTGAAATCCTTCATGTGGCCAAGACAAAGTTATCAGTGAGGTCAGTAGCTTCCTGATCATCAACAGAAGTTCAGTAACTCTACAGAGACTGAAATCAGTTGTTGATATAAGGAATACACACTGAAACTTCTACAGAGCCAATCATAGTACAGCCAAAGAAATTAAGCATTTCTAAACATGCTAACCTTTTTAGGAGGGAGAAAGGGTAGGCTAAATATTTAAAAATAATTAACTGAAATAAAAGTCAGTTAATCTATCCACATGAATAAATCTTTGAATATTGATTTCTTGTCTATTCTGGAAATCACCTACATGAGAGGCTTAAAATCTTTTTTGAAGCATTTTTGCTACTCCATAACCAAATGAAAAACAATGCTTAAGCTAGGCATAGTGAAGAATGCCTATAATTCTAGCACTCAGGAGGCTGAGGCAGGAAGACTGAATTTGAGATCAGCCTGAGCTACATTTTAAGAGGCTTTCTCAAAAGAAAAAAAAATGGATTTTTTAAAATTGAAAAACAATGCTTGCACTTAAATTTTCCCTAAAACAAGCCCTTCTTCCTTTGAAGATTAGGTAACTCTTTGACATCAGTCACTAATAAGTTCAAGCAGTCAAATATTTGCAGACTATGTAAAGAGAACCATGAAGAATTAAGAATTACAGTTCAGAATACTGACTAAGCTAAAAGGGAAATTGATATTATTTTAAGAAAGATAACCTCATTTCTAAGGCACAGCAAGGTTAAGAGAAAACAAGGCAAGTGGGATATACAAACATGTTGTACAAGCAGCAGCCCATACATATCTACAGATCCTAGCCAGTTAAGAAGGCCAGAAAGCTGAAGGGATAAAGTTACAATCTGGCTCTTCCTTATCCTCATTCTGACAGGGAAGCTACCCTAGAAAACCATGAGCCAGGAATGTGACTGAAGTTCCAGCAGTTAGGAAGGGTTTTTCTCAAGGTCAAGATGAAGCCAGGGAAACTGGAACTTTATCCCAGACAGCCTTGGTACCAGCTCACCTTCCGCAGCATGTCATTCTGCTCCACATTATTGATCTTGCCAGGGCTGATTTCTCCTTTCAAAGTGTATTCAAAGAACTTCCCACTGACATTCACTAATAAGGTGCTAAAGGCTCTATCTTCCCGAGTACAGCTGAGTGACTTGTCATGTCCGCTGGTAGCAGGGGTACCATACCTCAGGATCACTCCAACAATGAGCCCTGAAATAGGGTGACACATATAAAAAAAAATCAGTCCTAGTTTACTGTCCAATCATTTACAGAGTGCATTTGCAGCTGAGTTAAACCTGCCCACTTTTCTGAATAACTCAGAAAAGCCATTTTCCCTTTTGGTTTCTCTCTTTCAGATACTGGCCAGGGCCTAAGTATGCTTTCTCTGGTATTCTTTTTAACTCTGAAGCTACCTCCCCCTTGCCATGTGCCTGCTTGCCCAACTTCCATGCCTAACTTAAAAAGACATAGCTTTCTCTCTTCTTCTTCTCCATCTACCTCCTCTGGGCAGATGCTGAGTGAGATTTCCAGATTGCTTATTCTAGAGTTTTAAACACTAATAAAAAACACTGTAGAACTGTGAAAAGGCCAGCCATGTGGCAGAACAGAAAAGATGGAAGTGATACCACTGTTGATTTAAGTCCCTCAGTCACTAGAAGGATTAAACAGGATAGTGGTTAATATGGCCCCATGAACAGAATTAATACCTGCTTGTGCTTCATGTCGTATTTCTGAGGCTTTTAGTAGAGAAGGATGAGGTGGAGAAAAAGTGTAACATTTTCAGAATGAGGAAGAACTACTGAGCCTTTGTTTTTCCCCAGTGCATTCTTCAAACCAGCCCTGCTGTCATCTGCTAGGGTGGACCAAGTCACTGGAATCTTTGGAATATATGGAACATGCTTTGCCACACACCAGAGATAGAAGAGGGAAAACAAAATGGTTTTTCTTAGATCATTTCAAGCACTGAATATCATGGAGAAAGTAACTATACCCACTAGGACGCTAAATATTGTAGTGTAAACTTAAGTAGTCATGATCTGGGGGTCAGGGAGCTGCTTCTTGAGGCTACACATTTAAAATAATGTTCTTAATAATCTCAACCTGACCACCTGTGAAACAACCTTAAAGGTATAAGAAAAGGCAGACTTAATCTTAAAAAGTATATTTATCATTACCAAAAAAAGAGATATCTAAAGAAAACGAAGACGCCCATAATGCAGATGCTTCAAGTTATCTGGTCAACAGGCCGTGTCAGTCTTCTAGCCAATTCTAATAGATGAATTCCCATTCATTTCTTCACATCCGGTTATAAATCAGATGATGGCAGAGATGGCCAGGCAGAATTTGCTCAGCCCTGCTCTGCTCATCCTTGTGAGCATGCTTCTCAGCTGGCACTGTCATGGCTATCTCGCTTCAGGCTTTCTAGGTTTCTGTGCTGGCAAGTAAAGTTGTGAGCTACCTACAGAAAGGTGGCTGTTGCTCACATCTTTTTATTTCCTTGATCTTCATTCCTGTTCCAGAAAGGAAAGTACAATAAATTTTCAGTTTCTATCAATTCTCCTTCATAGGAGGCTTTGAGAACTCTGATAACTACTTAGGGCTCCTATGAATGGAACAGGAAGAAAGTATGTCATATGTAGTAGTCAGTCCTAGTGTTTCCTAGTCAGTCCTCGGGGCAGTGAACCATCCCTTTGCTGTGAAACTCTGTCCTCTAGGTGTGATATGGAACTCACCATCTTGAAATCAGATGATTACTCATACAAGACCCTCACAAGATTAGGTCAAAAATAAGTTACTAAGAGGGGAAGGGCTCTTCTTCACCAGTACAGCTGTCTCTAGGTTGCCCATGCTCATATAGGTAAGCCTTTCATTCATGATCCTATAAATAACCCCAATTAAACTCACTGGCTCACTAGGCTACACCAGTTGAATTATTTCTTTGGCTTTTATCAAAGCCCTATCTAAAGTGAAGAAAAGTCATATAGGCCCATTTACATTATTCTGCTCATTCTGTGGAAGGTCCCATGCCACAGATGATATCTCCCATGGTTACTATGTGTTATGCATTTGCATCCAACATTAGAATTCCACTAGGTCCTGTATCATTGCTGCTTGTGCATCCTTTTCTCCTTTAACAACACAGAACTCCATGAATGTTCTATCTTCTTTGTTGTAAGGATGTTCCTTGGGAGTTATTCTTCTCTGTGACAATCTCGTGAACAAGTTACATGTATTAGTATCCTGTGGGTGAAACCATATATCTGGGGTGGGGGAGAGGGAGAGGGGGAGAATGAATGAGAATACAGGGGTATGCATATGCATGGAGATCAGAGAACAACTTTGGGTGTCAGTTCTTGCCTTCTACTTTGTTTGAGATGGGACCTTTCTTTTTGTTCCTGCATTCACCAGGCTAGCTGGCATGTAAGCTTCTGGGAAACCTGTTCTCTCCACCTCTCATCTCTAGAAGCAATGGGATTACAGATATACCACCATGATCAGCTTTCATGTGGGTTCTAGGGATTTGAATTTAGATCTTCACACGTGCTTTGCCCACTGAGCCACCTCCCAGAAGCATATGCTTCTTATATAGAACCATCTTATTGTTTTTAAACTTCCATTACAGTGACAGTTTGTGCCCATGGTGCCATGCTGAGTGTCTCAGTCTTATTACTCATAGTTGAGGTCATGTTGATAATGACTAAAATCAGCTATAGCAACAGTACTTCCTTCCAAGGCTGCTGGCAGCACTGCGAGCAGGAAGGTGGGGACTGCTGGGTGCTCTCAGGGCTTTACTGTCCAGATCTTTATATTGTCTTTTAGTCTCATTTCAGTCCTTGGTTAGGCAGTCATGTTCTGATGACGTTTTACTTGACAAAGCAGTTGACAGCTCTTCAGCATTTATCATGATACACAATGGTCTATATTGCCGTAAAAAGTGACCTGTCACAGCCAAAAAGATGTATTAGTCATCTCTGCAGTGAGCAGAGACCAAACAGTACCTTTCATGCTGGAAATAAATGCTAAGTTGGAGTTCCCATAAGGGGCTGAGCTTCGAAGGGGGAAGATGAAAGTGGGTAGTAGAATGTGCAGCAAGGAAAATAACTATCCTTAAAGGAGAAATTGAGGAGCAGCAAAATTATGCCAAGTGTTATCAGCCTCTGCTTTGAGGGGAAGCCTTTTTGGGTCAACAAGGTGATATTTTGCAATAAAAACTAAGTTAATAAGGATGTGAATGTGTCTGTAGTGTAAGACTAGCCTAATATCCCAAAGAGTAGGATTAAGACTGTGTTGACAGGAATACTACACATCCCTTCTCTATCCTATACTTACTTCAGTCTTTGGAAAGAAAGAAATTAGTTGCTCCTGTTTTAAAAAAAAGTAGTCTGTCACAAAGTTTATATTAAACAGGTTCATAAAGAAAAGAGAAACCAAAATATAGTATTTACAAAAACTGCTTATATTAAAACTTGCTTTACATTCCTCACTGCTTCTTGACTTTATCAACCTCCTCAGCTGAGCTAATGAAGAAAGTAAACTGCTCTCTTCTAGGTCCTCACAATGAATACTGACAAAGAAAGAGGTTTAGGGACTAGAGAGATGGCCACGTGATTAAGAGCACATTCTACTCTTCCAGAGGATCCAAGAACTACTCCCAGAACCCATATTGTCTTCAGGCAGCTCACAACTGCCTGTAACTTCAACTCCAGGGTATTTAGTGGCCTCTCTTCTGGCATCCACAAGTACTTACACACATGTCACACACACACACACACAGATGCATATGCACACACACACACACACAAAAGCACAAACATATACATATATATGTAAAATAAATTTTAAAAAAAGAGGCATACAATTTTATACAAATTCTTTTATTCCAGGAAATGTCTAGATTCATTATTAGATGCTGAATACTGGTCCTTAAATTTAGAAAATCTTATTTTCTCTGCTCTGGGCCCAATGCACCCATACAAATAAAGTTAAACAGTGAGAGAAATGACACTATGGTTAAACATAGCAACATAACCAACCACAGCAAATGTAAATGGTTAGCCCCATGCTCAGAGCTTGACCTAACCAAGCCGCAGAGTATACTGCTCATCGTGCTATGCTGAATAATCCTCAGTTTATATTTCTATTTATTACCATCACATCCAGGCCATGATATAAAGTTCACATTTTCTGATTGATGAAATATCAGGATATCAGAACTGCAGAGGGTTTTTTGTTGTTGTTTTATGTTTGAATAAATTATTTTTTTAAAAATCTGGAGACAACATGAACATTTTAGTTCATGTGCTAAAGCTGAAGACATCCTCTGATATAAAACTCAAAAAAAGACCTTAACTGCAAAGAATATAAAAATGTAAGGAATTCTATTTAAAGCTCAAAAAGTTCAGTACACACACACAAAAAAAAAAAAAAAAAACAATGCAGAGAGCCATAGAGGCACTGATCACACTGGCTCAACAGCACGGTGCTCCAGATTACAGAAAAAAAAAAATGTCTGTGAAAAAAGAATCACAGCAGATACCAGCTGAGGAATGGATGGTCACTGATTTCACAGGCATATGACTAACTTCAGGAAATAATTTAATTTCAAATTTTACAGAAAGCAAATAGAGATAGAATTACTTTGACATTTTAGGTGGCTGAAAGCAAACAGTGAACTCGAAAGTACAAAAATTCAAGACTTTAACTTGTGGGTATGAACAAACCTACTTCCCAACTGTATCTAGTATATAACTGGCAGCTCTTCCAATTTTAAGATATAGCCAAAGGACTTTGAACATGTATAGACATTCATATATATATATATATATATATATATATATATGAATGGAGATTTTATATGTGTGCTCATCTAAACTTTGGTAGAATGAGAAAGGAATATGAGCCAAGTGTGACTGCAAATTCCAGAGGGTCATAAAGATGCCAACCCCCATTGGTGTGAAATCAGTTTCTCTTTTGTAACTCAGGCTATTGAGAGAATGGTTTAACAAGTAGACATAGGAGAGATGTAATTCCAGACAATCATCCACCAGCTGCATTATAAAAATGCCAATATTAGTAAGACTTTATTAGCTGGCTTAGCAGTGGAGGTACATGCCTTTAATCCCAGCACTTGGAGACAGAGACAGGTGGATCTCTGTGAGTTCGAGGTCAGCCTGGTCTAAAGAGGGAATTCCAAGACAGGCTGCAAATCT